TTCCTGACTATATTGCAGATGAGAATGAGTGTTTGCAGCGCCACCTACACAGGTGTGAGTACGAGTGCGTGAACCTACCTGGGACTTACGACTGTGTATGCCCGCGGGGGTACTCTGGATCCGGGAACAACTGTCAAGGTAAGAATACCTCATTACTGTCTTATTATTACGTAATTAATTGTTTTGGGGTAAACTTTAATGCATCAAGCCAGACAATTTTAGCTGCATTCTTCTTTTTCAAATCTCCAAATACCAACCATTAATATGAGCAGAAAAAAATAAAACTGAAAAGCAATACATACAAATATTGATATGACTGAGCATTATGCAAATTAGTTGAAGAATCATTTGGAAAAGAAGAATGAAAAGTGGATTTTTTTTAATCTGAGGTTGTGATGTCAGTGATGGATTAGTTAAATCTTACTTATTCAGTCGTGCTGTGTTTCATTTGACAGCGGCATTCATCAGCTTCAACACAACCATTACACTGAACATGGATCGGCGCATCATCATCAACGGCAGTTCCTCATCTCAGTTGTATGTCAGTCTGCAAGACAGCATCGCTACATCCGTGAGTCCCCATCATCGTGATAGAGAGTGTCATGTTATTAACACAGTGCTCCATCTTATTGTAAATAGTGTCAAACACCATCTTATTAATACTTTGTGTCATAATATTGACATTATATAAATGTTATTATTACAGTTCATAACTTATTGATAAATAGTGTTGTGTTACTACGATGGTCCAACATCCAAGTCAAACACTATCTTAATAATACTTTGATTCATAATATTAATATGGTTCACATCTTAGTGATACACAGTGTCATAATATTAATCATCCTATTTCTACAGTGTCACAATATTAACTCAGTTCACCATCTTTGTGATACAAGGTGTTATAATAGTGACACATTTTACCATCTTAGTAATACTGTACAGTGTTATAATACTAACCCAAATACATCTTGATGATGCATAGTGCCATGATATTAACACCGTCCATCTTTATACACAGTGACATAATATTGACAGTTCATCTTAGTGATACAAGGTGTTATAAAAGTGACACATTTTACCATCTTAGTAATACTGTACAGTGTTATGATATTAACCCAAATACATCTTGATGATACATAGTGCCATGATATTAACACAGTCCATCTTCATAGTGATACACAGTGACATAATATTGACACTGTCCACCATCTTAGCAATACTCAGGGTCATAGATTCACCATCTTAGTTATACACAGTGTCATGATATAAGGTTTCATAATATTGACACTGTCCACGATCTTAGCAATACACAGAGTCATAATAGTCACCGTCTTAGTGATACAGAGTGACACAATATTCACCATCTTAGTGATACACATTGTCATAATATTGACACTGTCCACATCTTAGCAATACACAGGTCATATATTCACCATCTTAGTCATACACAGTGTCATAACATAAGGTGTCATAATGTTGACATGGTCCACCATCTCAGCAATACATTGTGTCATAATATTCACCATATAAGTGATACACAGTGTCATAATATTGACACTTTCCACCATCTGAGCAATACACAGGGTCATAATATTCACCATCTTAGTGATACACATTGTCATAATATTGACACAGTTCACCTTCTTAGCAATACACAGGGTCATAATATTCACCATCTTAATGATACACAGTGACATAATATTGACACTGTCCACCATCTTAGCAATACTCAGGTTCATATATTCACCATCTTAGTTATACACAGTGTCATGATATAAGGTGTCATAATATTGACACTGTCCACCATCTTAGCAATACACAGAGTCATAATATTCACCATCTTAGTGATACACAGTGACATAATATTCACCATCTTAGTGATACATTGTCATAATATTGACACTGTCCACATCTTAGCAATTCACAGGGTCATATATTCACCATCTGAGTGATACACAGGGTCATAATATTAGTTGTCATAATACTGACACAGTCCACCGTCTTAGCGACTCTCAGTATCATGACAGTAACAGTTCATCTTCGTAACCCAAAGTGTCATGACAGAAACACGTTTTCAATCTTGGTGTCATGATAGCAACAGTTCACTATCATAGTAACACAAGAATCATGACAGTAACACATTTTCAGTCTTAGTGTCATGACAGAGACTGTTCACTATCTTAGTAACACAAGAATCACGACAGTAGCGCATTTTCATTCTTAGTGTCATGATAGAGACATTTCACTATCTTAGTAACACAAGAATCATGACAGTAACACATTTTCAGTCTTAGTGTCATGACAGAGACAGTTCACTATCTTAGTAACACAAGAATCATGACAGTAGCGCATTTTCAGTGTTAGTGTCATGATAGAGACAGTTCACTATCTTAGTAACACAAGAATCACGACAGTAGCGCATTTTCAGTCTTAGTGTCATGACAGAGACAGTTCACTATCTTAGTAACACAAGAATCATGACAGTAGCGCATTTTCAGTCTTAGTGTCATGACACAGACAGTTCACTATCTTAGTAACACAAGAATCTCGATAGTAGCGCAATTTCATTCTTAGTGTCATGATAAACACAAGAATCATGACATTAACACATTTTCAATCTTAGTGTCATGATAGAGACAGTTCACTATCTTAGTAACTCAAGAATTATGACAGTAACACATTTTCAATCTTAGTGTCATGATAGTGACAGTTCACTATCTTAGTAACACAAGAATCATGACTGTAACACATTTTCAATCTTAGTGTCATGATAGTGACAGTTCACTATCTTAGTAACACAAGAATCATGACTGTAACACTGTTCACTGTCAGGTAAACATAGATGGATCTCTATAAAGAAGAGAAAATACATGATCTTTAGACATGTTGATTTTGAATTATGCAAACATCATATAATCCAGGTGGATTCTGTTGTGGAGACTGTGGCACGAGAAGCCTTTGTACCTAGCAAGACAGGCTCACTAAGGTGAGTAGGACTGAAGCTGCTGGGAATGGTATTTCAGTTATATCATGGAAACGAATAAGGGAACACATGAAAGTACAAGTATTCCTTTATTCCTTTTCAGGTTTCTTCACAAGGTGTGTATTGCACTGTGAGTGAAATTCGGGAAATAAATAAAAGAACACTTGTATTTTCATGTGTTCCCTTATTCATTTCCATTTACATGTATAAATCATGGTGTGCTGGCTTGGGATCAAAGTCCAAAGTGATGGAGGCTTTAGATATTTACCACTTGAAAATATTACACAATGTCTCCTGTGTTGATGCCAACATACATTAAATGGCTGCTATTCTCAAGAAATGCATTTAAGCTGCAATTCCATGACTCGTGAAGAACCATAATGTTTGGTTGGGAGACTGGACATGTTTTAGTTAGAAAATGCTGGCAAGACCAACTATTTTCTTCCTTTTTGGTCAAAATATGTTTTGTTTTCAAAATATGAATTAGTTTATTTGAAATAATACTTATTTGACATTATTTTGTAGCATTTGAAGCTGTCATTTTTAGAATTAATCTCATAACAACACTGACAACAATGTTTTCCCAATATTGGTTTTGACAAATACTGTCGGGAACTTCTTGCAGGAGTGGAAGTGTGATAGCTGACGTAGAGCTGCGTGTTGACACAAGGAATACAGACATCCCTTGGTCCATTCTGGCCGCCATCTTGCAGAAGCTTGCTGCCACACCTACCCTTCCTGTCAGTGGACAGATCGTTCCTCTGCAGACCGTTACTTATAATGGCACCAACAGTATGTAGCTTAATTTGGGATGGATTAGCCTTGAAATTTTGAAAATTTGACTATGTACTGTTATCATTACCGGTATGTATACCTCTCAGAACAAGTTATGGAAAACAATACAGTAAACATTTTCCCTCAAACAGTAAATGTTTTTCCCTCTAACAGTAATTGTTTTCCTTCTAGCAGTAAATATATTTTCCCCACAAACAGTAAATGTCTTTTTCCTTCTGACAGTTAATGTTTTCCCTCTGACAGTAAACATATCTCTTTCTAACAGTGTCTGTTTTCCCCCTAACTGCAAATGTTTTTCCCTTCTGACAGTCCCAAACTCAGCCGATGCCTGTGATGTACTGAAGCTTGTACAGCACCTCTCTGTGGACACTTTCTGTGTCCTAGGTCCAGGTGGTGTGCCCGAAACAAGGTGAGCTACAACGCTCTTGTGTCACACAACACCATTACATTGTACATATTGTCATTGAGTGAGTGATTGAGTTAAGATTTGAAGTCACATTGGCAATAATTCATCCACATCGTGACTAAATCAAGTTATAGATTTATGATAATTGAAAGAAAATTATAAACACCTGTCAAGGAAGGACAGTAAAACAACTAGACTATCACAGATATGAATTTATAATTAGTAATTAAATCTAGAACACTTTAACTATTTAACATTTGTCATTTTTTGTGTTTTGGTTGGTTAATATGTTGCACAGAGCTAATATTACAAGTTAATATGATTATAAAGTGAATATAATCTAACACTTACATATATGTTTGGACACAATTTCAGGGATCAGAATGATGAAGGTGAGAATCTGTATGACCAAATTTCCCACATTTTCTAACAATGATAAATGTTGATAAATGAATTGTAAACATTATATATAACTTTATTCTGTAGAAAGGCCACAGGCCCATGTACAATGTATAATACAATATAAAAGGAATGATGTGCACAATAAGTAGAACATATTTTTATATATTTACAATACCAATGCGCTACTTCGCATAAACACTTCCTTAATATATTTTGCATACATATATAAATAAATGCTGTTTTCATTTTGAAGAAGGCTATTAGAGAATTTCTATCTTTACAGTCAAAATTTAACATATATCTTGTTCTGAAATCATTATATTGTGGGCAAATAAACATGAAATGAAATTCATCTTCTAATATTATTGTAGTTTGTGAGTAGATTGTGAGCTTACTTTTCAAATGTTTTACCAGACCTTTGAATATAATATTATTATAGATCATTTGACTAGGACATAATTTGAAATTTGATACATATACTAAAGTTTAGCTTTAAACAATGTAAATAAATTGGTTCAACTTGAAATGATTTCAGGTGTTTCCGGTGTGAGGATGCTTGTAGTTTTGGGTTCAGTGGTCACTGCTGTTATTGTCCTGGTGGTCAGTCTGACTCTCATCCTGTACTGCTGCTGCTGTAGGGAAGAAAGACAGAAGCTCCACCAGAGTGAGTTTACTATTGCCATTTGATTTCATGTGCTACAGGGCGGTAGGTAGCCTAGTGGTTAAAGTGTTTGCTCGTCACGCCAAAGACCTGGGTTCGATTCCCCACATGGGTACAAAGTGTGAAGCCCATTTCTGGTGTCCTTAGCTATGATGTTGCTGGAATATTGCTAAAAAGTGGCATAAGACCATACTCACTCACTCCTGTGCTACCTTCCATTTGCTCCTTTAAAGATCCTGGTCAAGTCATTTCAGACATTTTTAGATTCCTAGGAACATAGTTTGGTGCTTTAGCAATATTCAAGCAATATATATCAAAGTGGGGGACACCAGATATGGGCTTCCCATTTTTGGAACTGGACCTTGGTCTTCAGTGTGATGAGCGAACACTTTAACCACTGGACTATACCAGATATGACACATTGCTCTTGTTGGTTGTGTGTTAGTTCTGGCTGACCTGAATTATAGTTCACAGTTTGTCAGCACCATGTCCATGCTGAGACAGGCCAGGGGCTCACTCACTCACCCAAAACCCAATCAATCAGTCAATCAACCAATCACCCAAAACCCACTCATTCACTCACTCACCCAAAACCCAATCAATCAGTCAATTTATCAATCAATCAATCACCCAAAACCCAATCAATCACAGAAACCCACCCACTCACCCACTCCTGTTATGTTGTTATCATTCCGATAACAGAGGTTCCATTGTATATCACCTTGTACAGACCTCTGTTATGTTGTGTTATCATTCCGATAACAGAGGTTCCATTGTATATCACCCTCTTGTGTTATCATTCCTATAACAGAGGTTCCATTGTATATCACCCTCTAGTGTTATCATTCCGATAACAGAGGTTCCATTGTATATCACCTTGTACAGACCTCTGTTATGTAGTGTTACCATTCCGATAACGGAGATTCCACTGTATATCACCCTCTTGTGTTATCATTCCGATAACGAAGGTTCATTATATGCCACCCACTAGTGTATCATTCCGATAACGGAGATTCCACTGTAGATCACCCTCTTGTGTTATCATTCCGATAACGAAGGTTCATTATATGCCACCCACTAGTGTATCATTCCGATAACGGAGATTCCACTAACCATGTTTCAGGTGGCCGAGGTAATGCAACATCCAACTTCTCGTGGGAGAACATGTTCAACATGCTGGACCCCGTGAGGAATGGCCAGGTAAGGATATCCATACATAAACACTACATGGTTAAAAGGAGTGAAGAACTGTTCCATAAGCTATTTTCCTTCAGAGGCATTTTGTGTTTGAGCAGATAAGGTATTCATCATCAATGTTCATGTTTTAAGTCCCACATACTAAGATGTCAAGTGATGAATATAAATATCCAGTTCTTTGCTCTAATATGGTCAGAATCACAGGTAATCTGTGCCAAAAAGTGCCAAAATATTTGAGTCAAGTTTAAACCTTTTAAAATTTCAGTTACCAATTAAACTTTTTCTACATCTAGTATTTAAAAACGATGTATGAGGACATTGATTTTACTAAAATCTGGCGAGGACTGGTTTTGTACTGGCTTGTTGAGTCACAGACGTTTTGGGTGTCTACAATCTGATTTACAGTGCAAAATGTCATATTTCCAGTTTGCAGTGCCAAGACCTGCATACCAGAAACAGCCAGAAAGAAGTTTGAAGGTAATTATTTTTCGGATCATTTATATATAACTAGAAAAATATTAAGCATCACCTGATTCTTCTGTAGCTTATCAGCAACACAGACTTCTATCTATCGACCATTTAGCAACTAATATATACACCACACATCTACTAAAGCAAGGGAAAAATTATAAGAACTGTATAACTTTTTATAAACATTGTGGGAATGTCATAAATGGTAGATGTGTGATATTGTCAGATAACAATCCACACTGACCATCTGTGAGGATATATTTGACACATCCCTTTCTGAAATGTACAGATTATATTACAATGTATTGAGAACATCACAATGCATCATGACATCTAGAGTAACGCAATCTGGAACTGATGTATATCATTTCAATATTGCATATGGCAGTGTATGAAATAAGGACTGCCCGAGGCGGGCTAGATTTCTGACGGACGGTCTAGATTTACAGCTAGCCGGCCCGATGGTCTGGTAAAAATTTAGAAGTTCCACACATCTGAGTAAATTCACCATATCTTGCTTGGTGTCTGGTCTGGTTAAATCCATTTTGTGCTGGTAACATTTTCAAGTTACCAGCCCTCATGTCTGGCAGGGATTTTGGCTTATTTCATACACTGCATATGGGAGATCGTATTTCCCAATAAATAATGAAATTTTGATATTTTGCAGTTATTGAATTTTTTAATTTTTTTAAGCATGGTCGTCATGAAAACAATTCTGTTGCCTAGACGACATGTGTTGAAACTGTCTGGCTTCACTAACCCTTGTGTTTGGTTCTGGTGGGATGTGACAGAGGTGTTGCAGATGTGAACATAACCTACCCACTACAGAGGACAGAGAGGATATATACTCATATATATTCATATACTGCAGGAAACCTGCTATCAATAAAAGTTCCACGGTACTTGACAGTCACTGAGTACAAGTACCTTGGAACTTTTATTGATAGCAGGTTAACGTGGAACACCAACACAGATGCCCTGTATATATTTATCTCTTTTTATGTTTTTAATAATGTCATATTTTATGTTGTTATTCATTTGTATTTTTGTCAAGCTCTGTGAACCAAAACGAGTTCCCTTTAAGGTAATAAAGTATTGTCTGTCTGTCTGTCTGAAAACCAAAACACACAGTACACATTTCATTTTTTTGCTCATATGTGTCATTATGCAACATAATATACTTATTCCTTTATTGACATATCATGTGTTAAGTCAGAGAAATCACACACATCTGTTGATTAAGTCAGAGAAATCACTCACATCTGTTGATTAAGTCAGAGAAATCACACACATCTGTTGATTAAGTCAGAGAAATCACTCACATCTGTTGATTAAGTCAGAGAAATCACACACATCTGTTGATTAAGTCACAGAGATTAAATCACACACACATCTGTTGATTAAGTCAGAGAAATCACACACATCTGTTGATTAAGAGAAATCAGAGAAATCACACACATCTGTTGATTAAGTCAGAGAAATCAGATTAAATCACATCCACACATCTGTTGATTAAGTCAGACACAAATCACACACATCTGTTGATTAAGTCAGAGAAATCACACATCTGTCAGAGAAATCACCCATCTGTTGATTAAGTCAGAGAAATCACACACATCTGTTGATTAAGTCAGAGAAACCACACACATCTGTTGATTAAGTCAGAGAAATCACACACATCTGTTGATTAAGTCAGAGAAATCACACACATCTGTTGATTAAGTCAGAGAAACCACTCACATCTGTTGATTAAGTCAGAGAAACCACACACATCTGTTGATTAAGTCAGAAACCACATCAGTCAGAAACCCTCACATCTGTTGATTAAGTCAGAGAAAACCACACACATCTGTTGATTAAGTCAGAGAAATCACACACATCTGTTGATTAAGTCAGAGGAATCCACACACATCTGTTGATTAAGTCAGAGAAAACCATCACACATCTGTTGATTAAGTCAGAGAAATCACACACACATCTGTTGATTAAGTCAGAGAAATCACACACATCTGTTGATTAAGTCAGAGAAAATCACACACATCTGTTGATTAAGTCAGAGAAATCCACACACATCTGTTGATTAAGTCAGAGACTACATCTGTTGATTAAGTCAGATCACACACATCTGTTGATTCAGAAGTCAGAGAAAACCACACATCTGTTGATTAAGTCAGAGAAATCACACACATCTGTTGATTAAGTCAGAGAAACCACTCACATCTGTTGATTAAGTCAGAGAAACCACTCACATCTGTTGATTAAGTCAGAGAAATCACACACATCTGTTGATTAAGTCAGAGAAACCACTCACATCTGTTGATTAAGTCAGAGAAATCACTCACATCTGTTGATTAAGTCAGAGAAATCACACACATCATCTGTTGATTAAGTCAGAGAAACCACTCACATCTGTTGATTAAGTCAGAGAAACCACACACATCTGTTGATTAAGTCAGAGAAACCACTCACATCTGTTGATTAAGTCAGAGAAACCACTCACATCTGTTGATTAAGTCAGAGAAACCACACACATCTGTTGATTAAGTCAGAGAAACCACACACATCTGTTGATTAAGTCAGAGAAACCACTCACATCTGTTGATTAAGTCAGAGAAATCACACACATCTGTTGATTAAGTCAGAGAAACCACTGACATCTGTTGGTTCCTGAAGAATGTACAGGCTCTCCTGATTTCTCCAGTACACGCCCCAGCCTTTGAGAGTTAGTGAGTGAGTCTAATTTTATGCTGCTTTTAGCAATATTCCAGCAATATCACAGTGGTGGACACCAAAAATGGGCTTCACACATTGAACCCATGTGGGGAATCGAACCTGGGTCTTTGTTGTGATGAGTAAATGCTTTAACCACTAAGCTACCCCACCGCCCCTATAATGCCATTTAGAAAGTAGTCAAATGTAACATATGTATGTTTGAGATTTCACTTTCTTAGTAAAGTACAGATTCTAGTACATTTGTTGGGTTGAGTCCCATCCAGGATTCGAACCCACACCCTCAGAGTCAGGCACCTAATCGCCAGCACACAAAGTCAGCCACCTAACCCGCTCAACCACAAAAAAACCAAACCCAGACCCATAAAGATCCGGGTAAGAGTTGGTCTTCAGTTACCCATGTTTTTCGTAAGAGACGACTAACAAGATCGGATGGTCAGACTCGCTGACTTGGTTGACACACGTCAGTGTATCCCAGTTGCGTAGATTGCTGCCCATTCTGTTGATCACTGGATTGTCTGGTCCAGGCTAGATTATTTACAGACTGCCGCCATATAGCTGGAATATTGCTGTGTGTGCCATAAAATTAAACTCACTCACTCATTCAGGATCGCTTTGAAGATAGAGTATAGAAATTAGCATTGATTTTGAAGGCTTGTACAGAGGGGTAGCCTAATGCATAGTGTCACTTTATAGACAGTGACATATGGTATTATTTCATTGCATATATTGCTACACCTGTTGTGAGTAATACAAATCTTTTTTTTGTTCGAACTGTATCCCTTCATGAATTCAATTTGTTATTCTTTGTCATTAGAATAAAATATTTTACAAGAAAAGTGTGTTTAACTTGGAATTCGTCTGTTATTTATCCAAGCAAGACATGCAAGATGGAAGACAAACAAGCAATACAGTTGCAGAAGTTGTGCCATTTGCCAAGGCTCATTACAGCATGGTCATAAGGCTATTATAGGCAGGGCTGCGCAATATAACCGGTTTACCGGTTCAGACATGAAAACGATACGTATTGCGATACGCTGATCGAAAATCGGTATTTTGACTTGCATTCGGAAAACTTCGTAACACTCGGAAATCTTCGGATATGTCCTTGTTTCATTTGTGCCAAATATTATTCACATTTTTATTTTATCATGATTAAAAGTTGTTATTAAAGCTTAATCAAGCCTAGTGGTTTTGTTGTGTTTTTGCTCTATAAATCAAGAATTTACTCGATTATAAGTAGTTTTTTGTTTAAAAATACTTTATGCAATATATTGCAATACATATCGCAATACATGCTTTCGCATCGCAATATGTCGCAATATGAAAATTCTCTGCAATACCCACCCCTAATTATAGGCATTGTTGCATATGCATTGTTTGTTTGATTTGCCAAAAAGACGCACTGATATGTTTCAACATGTTTGGTATTTAATTCCTTCTATAACATATATGAATTAACATTCATATTCTTTTCCCTATATTTGTGATGCAACTTGTATTTACATCATAGGGTATTAGTTGCAGCCCTGTTTATTGCTTGATTTTTGTTTTACGCCGCAATCAGCAATATTCCAGCTATATGGCGGCAGTCTGTAAATAATCAAGCCTGGACCAGACAATCCAGTGATCAACAGTATGAGCATCGATCTACACTTTGAATGGGGATACAATGAGTGAGTGAGAGGGTTTAGTTTTACACCGCACACAGCAATATTCCAGCTATATGGCGGCAGTCTGTAAATAATCAAGCCTGGACCAGACAATCCAGTGATCAACAGTATGAGCTTCGATCAGCAAATTGGGAACCGATGACCTGTGTCAACCCATGTCAGCCAGCCTGACCACGCAATCCCGTTAGTCGCCTCTTACAACAAGCATCAGTTGCTGAAGACCAATTCTATCCTGTATCTTTACAGGTGCAGTTTGACATGATTGGATCCACAGATCAGATCAATTACAGTCGAGCACCGTTGTCTCGATATTCGTGGGACCAAGAAAAAATATCGAGTTATCCGAACTTCGAGACATCCGACCAGGGCATGTCGTCACATATCACTATGAAAGAAAACAAAACACTTCTCAGTATGTTTCGATTCGAAACTATACTCCGTTATCAGTAGTGTTTAGTCGTAACAGTGAGTACTTCCTAATTAATTCCTTCTTAGTTAATCCTAATTACATAACAAACAAGTGACACCTTCAACTCAATTAGCCCTGATTAGTTTACACTACCGCATCCCTTTGATTCATGCCGCACCGTGTGAAACGTGTGGAAACAACCTCAGTTCAGAGGGATACTTGCCCATGGTAGGTGAATATCGAGTTTCTTTGCAAATATCGAGTTAAAAGCGTATTTTTCCTTGTTGGGACCATGAAATTATATCGAGATATCCGAAATATCGAGACAACCGTATCGAGTTAAAAGAGCTTGAATAAAGATAAATTATGAAGGATTATGCCGGGACCGAGATGTTATATCGAGACAATCGAGTTATCAGAGTTCGACACAACGGTGCTCGATTGTACTTTAATACAATCATACAATCTAATACTTCAGTCCTGCCCCACAACACGGCACATGTGATACATGTGGTCTCACCTTAGGCAGGTGAGTTTGTTCTAAATTGCCTCTGTTCACCCAGCAGAAAATGGGTACCCAGTGGGATAAATAATGTGACTATAACCTTCTAGCACCTAACAGGCAGCTTGGGCTATCCGGGGTAATAATGTGCTGTGCTATTCATTGTTAGCGCTGTGTGCGTACCTGGTGTGGAGTTTGGCGCTATATAAATGGACACGTTATTTGTGATCCATATCGTACACACTATTATTATTATTACTTCTCTACATGAAGATCTCATTTTATCTCCATGCATCAGGTAATCCCTGAATATATTTATTCAGTATATATACTTCTGGGAAGACTTTGTTCACTTATAAGTGAATTTCTGTTGGTGAATTTTCTTTGAATAACTATTTTAAAGAGTTCATAGATATTTTAATTTTATATCAATTTTCATTATTTTGTCAGTGTGCTACTTCATGAGCAAGTATATTGTTGTATGTCTTTGTTTTCAATGTGAGACGATTTATTAATTGTAAAACAATATGCTACTGCCATGACAACACTGCGAGAGTTTACAGTCAGTGAGTGAGTCGGATGTAA